ACCATCATAATTAAAAAATCATGCATTTGGACCTAACATGCTTTGTTTCTACCAGGAAATTGTTAATTTTATATAAAACATTATCCCAAATCCCATGTGAATGATCAGCCCTATGATCTCCTAGATAGAAAGAACTTTTAGCCATACAAATTATGCAAATAAATGGAATCACTTTCCAAGATTCACTTGCAAGAGCTAGCTAAGAAAACATGCTTTTATTGTGGTTGCTTCTTGTTTGAGATATCAAATCCATTCTTTCACTTTCACAGGCATTTTTAAAGAATGGCTAAAGTCTCTTTTTGTCACTTAACTGCTCTCTAGTATTAATTGTATCATGCATGACATGTTAACAAATTGATCATGACCGTCGGTTCCATAATATGACTTCTGGGATTATTTATATATATATATACTTCCTTTTCTAAATCCTTCAATGGGAGCTTGACAGGTTCATTCAAGATAACAGGAATGGGTGAAGATTTTGATGTTACAAAAAACAACTGGTAGTTCTAACAACCATGAAAACAAAGAAAGTCATTTTTAATAAATTACAGTTTAATTTCCACTCTCTCTCTCTCTATAAGTAAGAGGTGACCCTACCAAATGGAAGATCAGAATAAGAATTTTCCAATGTGGGCCGTCTATATGTTGTATTATGAAGCAGACTTTGGCCAAATTGCGAATGTCACACTCATCAAAGGTGGGAAAAAAGAGCAAGAATATACCTAAAGGTTACTGATGAAAGCATGAAAATTCTATGCTTTGTTGCTGATGTGTGTCAAATGGTTTTTTTGGGATAAAAAAAAGAAAAGAAAAAGAAAGAATTGATTTAAACATTGGAATGAAGAAATGTATACATGTTGGCCTAGCTTTTATATGGATGACAACGAATTAGGAGGCATGAAAATTTATGTGGCCGCCATATAATTATAAAGTACCAAACTATTACTACAATGGGGACAATGATTAAATAACTATTCACATTGAATCATTTTAGTTTAATTTAAGTAAAACCATAGAGAAAAAAAACAAAGAAAAAGAGAGGATATGTTTGTGTGTAGTATGAATTGAACAAGGATCCTTTCACTCCTCATATTTCGATCGGTCAATCTTGAGTTACATTATCATCAGGTCAAATTTCATGTTGGGAATTCTGTTAGACCTAAATTTGTAAGTGATAGATTTTGACCACACAATGAAATGGCTGAAGCTAGACCACAAGATTGAGATTTGTGAAGTCTTGGAGAGAAATTTAGCCCGAGAGAATCCAAATTCAAATAAAACAATCTATTATTAATTAAAAGATATATGGTATTTTCTTACCTGCCTGATGAATATTCTATATTCAATGCAAACCGAAGTGGTAGGAAAAATTTGATCTAAAATATTGGTTTACTGTTACAAGGGGTCATTTGTCCCACATTAGATTCGAATAGAAAAGTGATTGAGCATAAATGGGAAATATGTAACATTGCCCAACAGTTTGATCTTTTGGGTAAATGGGTAGTGCCCACTCATTAATATCAGAGTCAAATTCAGTCCTTGATCCGGTGTCACGTCTGCGGGTAGGTAAGGTGGCCTGACCACAACGAGAGTATTGAGAGTCTAAGACTTGAATCAGATTAGATCTATAGCAACCTCAAAATAGTTAAAAACTACATAAACAAATAAAAATTTGGAGCTCTTATATCAAGAAAATTGATGTCTGATAATGATGGTTGACATGCCCCTGATAAAATATTTTATCAAATTGGAATTGATATCACTAAAATATTTTATGAAATGCACTAGAGACCATGTATATTAGGATGTGCATTTGAGACTCTAGATAATATGGTTGTAATCTGGAAGATTGTAAAAAATGAAATAAGGACCAAGAACAATCACATAATCCTTTAATATTTGCAAATGACCTTTGTGGTTCTGAGAGTGCCTGCATTGGATTTTCTTTTATCAATTTTTATTAATTAACAATTTAATTTGAAACCCTAAAATCTGCTCTCTCAGTAAGAATTTATTTCTTTTTGCCGACTGCGCCCTTGATCTATAATTTTGACACATTTGGTTTGTTTCAAAATCATATTCTTGAAAATGATTTCATTTGTAAATTGATGTCGAGAGCACATCATTTTATATTGATGAACAAATTTCGAGCTCAACCAACGGAAAATGAAAATACTAACAACTTTGAGAACGAAACTTAAATTTTTTTCTAATATCTCTAAACATCTCATTCGGAATTTATAATGTAAATTACTAATTAGAAAATACCTAGAAAAAATATATATATTTTTCATATAATTACTATTATTCCTGTTTTTCAAAATGGAGAAAGAGTCGCTTTTAAAAAGTAATACTCCGTACAAAAGAGTCCTTCACTAATCACTTGCATGTTGAGCTTATAGATGCAACTGGAGCTATTCAACAAGTATTTGGAGGATTCAACAAATGAACATTGTAATTTAAATGTGCATAAAATTATTTTACATCGACCAAGTGAATAGTATTTGTTCACCAACTAATTGGGCTTAACATAATTAGAACCACTTGATTTGTAGACTTGATCAGTTTCAACAACTTTCAATTGATCGATCCAACCGATGATTAATGAGCATCAGAAAAGTTGATGCACCCAGGTTGGGGGTGACAAATTATTACACGGCACGATAATACGACACGAGTTAAAAGGGTTTGAGTTTGGCATAAACGGATTGTGTTATAAAAAGGTCGACACGATTAACCCGTTTACTTAACCGTGTCGGGTTATGATTGAGGGATTCAACCCGCGTAATCTGTTTATGACCCATTTGACTCAATATATTATAATTGTGAATATGACCATAATGATTTATGTAATATGTTACCTGTCTAAACCCAATTACTATAATAGTTAAATCATTTCAACATAAATCTTGTCTATGTCTTATGATTTTTCTTTTTATTTTGAATATTTGGGTTAATTATGACAAATTTTTTCTATTATTTAATATTTGATTAAATATTAAATGTCTTGTTTTGATAAACAGGTCATTAAACGGGTTATCGCGTTTACCTATTTAATAAACGGGTTGGGTTAGTGTTGAGAATCTTAACACGATTATTAAATAGATTAAGTTTGAATTTATCTATTTAGTATAATACCCTTATATTAACACAGATATGAATATGACCTATTAATACGAATTGTTATCCCTAATCAAGTTACGGTGTCCATATATAATAAAAAAATGATGGACCACCCTAGCTAGCATGAGTACTATCATTAATACAATCCATTGTTACAAGTTTCAAAAACTACATCAAAATGTAAACCGGTACTTGAGAAACAACTGTCATATCCCCCGACCATTCTGGGTGACCTTGCCCTCATAACTTTACAGGATGATCGTACGCTATATAATTCACTTTGTTTTATATATATATATCATACACTCACACATTTGGACAATACAAACATATATTTAATACACGTGTAAGGATGGTGCTTAGTACACACCAACATGGCAACATACCTTCCATGTACATTCAATATAATACCCAATTAATTTACCGGAATATATATAATATTATAATGCCCAATAACAGAAAAATTTCCATAGGAGAGTTGTGTATATTGGGCTTGCTCATTCTTAATAAACTTTATATATTGGGCGCATAAAACCGAGAAATTATAAGACAATTTTGGACAAAAATACTTAATGCTCTAAATACATTTTTATTTACGCATCAAGAAAAATCACCAATATTGAACGTTTTCTTGTTGAAGCCACTTAATTAGTCCAACTGATGTTCAAATCTTTTTATTTTATTTATTTTTATTTACTAGTCTATTTTTCATAGTAAAAACACCGACCAGGAAAAGCCAAAAGGGATGACTTCAGCATTATCTAATAAATATATATATAAATATATACATGTATATATGTTGATATATATATAAAAGGGAGAGAGAGTGTGAGTGGCAAGCGGCGGAGAAAGCTTTGTTATAGGAAGGACCACTGACTTTAAGAGACAAATATTAAAGTTGTGGAGGTGTTTAAGCCCAAGGTAGCATTAGGCGTTTGTTTTACACGACCGCTATGTGAATGGGTGTGTGTTTCTGACTTCTTGAGATGGTGTCTGGACTTGGCACATTTGGGAAATACAAAAGGAAAGATGCGGTCCCATTTTGGAGAGAGAGAAAGAGAAATAGATAAAGAGAGAGAGAGAGAGAGAGAGAGAGAGCATAAGGGATGGATGGAGTGCTTTAATAGGTGGTTTAATTAGAATTAGTTGGAAGTATTGGAGTATTGGACCACCTCATCTCATCTGCTCCACAAACTCTAATTTTGGGAACATTTTTGCACAACACACAAGCATCTATTCTTATCTCTGTCTCTCTCCTCACTTTCTCTCTCTAGAAAAAAAAACTGTGTTATATATGGTGAATGGTTTTGATCAAATTTTCAGGCCCACCACAGCATAAGAACTGAAAAGTAAAACCCATCTGAAAAAGCCTGGAAACAACTCCAGTTTAAGATTGCAAAACAGGGGTTGGTGTCCTTTCCAATATCATAATATATATATATATATATATATATATATATATATATATATATATGTATTTTCTTTTTCTTTTTTCTCAACTATATATATTTATATATGCATATTCATGTAAAATATGGTCATTTATGTGATGGGTTTTAAGTTTTAACTTTTAAACTTAGGAGGGTTTTGAATTCTTGCAAAATAAACATAAAACGTGTCATATGGCGGCTTGTAGCATATCTACCAGGCAAAGGAAGCAAATCTCTTTCATTTCATGGTCCTATCCAAGTGTAGTTTCATGTAATATACTCTCCATATTTACAAATTACTAGTATTTTTTGGTAGGTAATTTAATTATTATTTTAGGACAGATATTTTAAAATAAAATTTGTTGATTTTAATCAATTTTTAATTGATGGGGGTATGAAATAATTGAGGTAGGGTTTGATTTGTAGGAAGTCTATTTTGGATGTATTTATATCATGCTGCATTGACCCACTAGAGATATGAGATCGAGGAGAGAGAGAAAAAAAGAAGAGAGAGAGAGAGAAGAGATGAAATGATGATGATCATAGCTTGGAAGTCATCATCACTTGTATGACATCCGATCTTCAATTTTCTGAGGAGATATCTGATCTTCCTTTCTAGGTTGGCTTTCATGGCATACCATATCATGTTGGCTCATTAAGAGTATAACTAGTCTCTGGCACCACAAAAGGAGGCCCATTTCTCACCTCCACCTTCCGCCACCATTACAACCACCTCCACCACCACCTCCATATATCAAGATTCACATACCAACATAGTCCACTCTCCTACAATCGGTACTCTCTCTTTCTCTGTGTGTGTGTGTGTTTTTGTGTGTGTGTAAAGAATGAAGCAAACAAGATTTTTGGACAAAAAGGTAAGATGTGTTATGAATATATGTGAACTTTATTTGATTGATTTTTGCTTTGTGATATTCTGATGGATTTTTAATTGCAGAAAGTCGGAAATCTTCAATACTAACCAGATTACAGAAGCAGAAAAGAGCAAGAAAAACAACATCAGATTGTGAATTGATTGTTTGGCAAAGTTGTGGTGAAGAGAAAAAAACAGAAGGAAAGAAAGAAAGAAAGAATTAAAATAGGGACCATGGTGGTTTCATCCAGTGGCTATTATTACTCAGAGTCTTCAACTAGCAACCCTAATATCCAGACCACCCATGCGGTGAACCAACAGTTACAGAGCTTTGATCAGTCCAACCCATCAGAGATCTACAACTTGGCCACAAGCATGGAGATGATAGGGTTTCCACCGAAGAATAATCTGCAGCAAGGGTTCTCCGGCAAGCCTTCGTCTTCGATGACAGTGGACGTTGAGTCCACCAGCAATCATTTTTATGATCACTTCAACAAGGGTAGTGATTTCAGAGGTGAAGAGAACCACAACCACCTAATGGTGGCACCAGATCAGTCAACAGCTTGGCATGCCACTACTAATACTGATTCATCATCTATGAGGTGTAGTGTGTTTCCTCGTGAAGGTAATGAAAGGCCAAGTCAAGGCCTTTCACTCTCTCTCAGCTCCACCAATCCTTCCACTATTGGGTTACAGTCTTTTGAACTGAGACAACAAGATGACATAAAGTTCATGCCTTCAAGCTCTAGAGATATTGGGTTCTTTGGTAAATCACCATCCATGAATAATATTCAACAACATATGGTGCAAGATGGGTTTTTGGGAAAAGCTGCAAATCTTCAGAATTTAGGTCAGTTTCAGATGAGGAACTCAAAGTACTTGGGTCCTGCTCAGGAGCTTCTGAATGAGTTCTGTAACCTTGGAACAAAGCAGCAAAGTACTGGTCATGACCCACCAAAGATAAAGCCCCACAAGAGCACCACACAGTGGCAGATGGATGAGAATGCAAGTGGTTCGTCTTCTAAAAAGTCACCTTTGAACACCCTTGAATTCCTTGAATTGCAGAAGAGAAAATCAAAGCTATTTTCCATGCTAGAAGAGGTATGTTTATGTGTGTGTTTGTGTGTGTTTTGATTCTATGTCAATATGTCATATCATTCCACAGATCAATATTTTCTTTTACTTCATCTTTTTATTGCTCACAATACACGCACACATATACATCTCCTATAAAAAGATATGAAATAGTTGAAGCACAGCACTAACGTACTGGTAAAGGGTGGTTGATTCGGCTCTCTCAGACTTGAAATCTTGAGCTAATTGGGCGACTGAGGGCCTTTCCATTAATGTTCACATGGTCATGATCCATTCGGCTACTTTCATTTAATTTCAGAAACCTCTAATCCCTTTTCATTTACTTTCTAGTAGCCTTCTTAAGTACGTACTTTCATTCTATCACTCCAATTTCCTATGTATTCTCTTATGTAATTCTCAAACCTCAATCAGAAAAACTTCTAATTTTTATAATTTTATTTGGTTCAGTTTTCTGAAAATGGAATTGATTTCAAATAACTTAAAAATAAAATAAAAATTCATTTGATTAATAATTTTTTTAAACTATTTTCTGAAAACCGTAATGGCCTAATTTTAAAGTATAGTTCTCTTATGTACCATTTATTTATTTATTTTTTGTGTGTGTGGTGTAGGTGGATAGAAGATACAGGCACTATCGAGATCAAATGAAGGCTGTAGTTTCGTCTTTTGAGGCTGTGGCGGGAAATGGGGCGGCAATGGTGTACTCGGCCTTGGCTTCTAAAGCCATGTCAAGGCATTTTAGATGTTTGAGAGATGGGATTGTGGGTCAGATCAAGTCCACCAAGAAGGCCATGGGAGAGAAAGACACTGCTGCACCCGGAACAACACGGGGCGAGACTCCTAGGCTTAGGCTTCTTGATCAGACTTTGAGGCAGCATAGGGTATTCCAGCAGATGAGCATGATGGAGAGTCATCCATGGAGACCCCAACGTGGCCTACCCGAGCGAGCTGTGTCGGTGCTTCGAGCTTGGCTCTTCGAGCACTTCCTCCACCCGTAAATATCTTCCCCTTCTTTGTTTTATTACACTGATGAAGTCCTCATCACACACACCCACACACACACCAGTACATAGATGAGTAATGCCATTCATATGGGTTTCACGTGATGTCATTTTATAAATATTTATTGGTTAATTAATTTGCTTTTGTTTTTATTATTGGGATTGATTTTTTCTTGTCGAATAGCATTTTTTCATGTATATACTTGTCAGAGAATTGATTTTTTGCTAGCATATATCAAAGTTTTCTCCAAACAAAAAAACAACTTGCAGTTCTGAACTTAGTACTGTTAGTTGCTATATATATGTAACCTATGACCTTTCAAAAAATATATATATATATATATATATATATATATATATATGTAACCTCTGTCTCAATCATTCGTCTGCAAAAAAAAAACAAGCCAATTCTTTGGTAGTCTCTGTCCACCATTATTCAGATTCCAATAATTTTCATATTATTTTGAATTAGATAGCATATTCTTTTTCCTTTCTGATTTTTTTTTTTTTTTTTTCGTAAGAATTTTCCTTGCTGAATTTGCTTGGACCTTTCTGCTATATTTGTGTGGATTTGATTCTGTTGCAAGTTACATATATAGGACCCATCTCTTTCTCCTCTCAATTCTAAGTAGTACTGTGTTCTTCATGAAACTTGGCAGGTACCCAAGTGATGTTGATAAACATATATTAGCCAGACAAACTGGTCTCTCAAGAAGCCAGGCATGTCATCATCTATCTGTAACTATTTTAATTCACCATGAATATGTTTATATTCTCAATGGGGCATATAAATCTTCCTAGAATCCACAGTTTAAATGTATTTATATTTTATGGTCACTTTGTTTTTAATACATGCTTTTATTTATTTAAAATGCATATGTTTTTTTTTATTTTATTTTTATTTTATTTTTTTATTTTTTTATGTATGTGCTTGTTCAGGTATCTAATTGGTTCATTAACGCAAGAGTGAGGCTATGGAAGCCGATGGTGGAAGAGATGTACTTAGAAGAGACAAAGGAGCAATTAGACAGCAACATGGCCTCGTCCTCGGATGGACTAATTACAGCCATGCTTGACAATTATGGTCCAAAGCAAAGTCCTCGGACACAGCATCCTGATCAAGATCTGAAATTGAAATCTGACCAGCTCGTTGGAATAGATTCAGAGTGCCTCTCTTCCATCATCAACAACCAAGAGAAAAACGACGGTACTAAAAATAGTAGTAAGAGCCCTCAAAATCAGCAGCCTCACAACTTGCACCACCAGCAATTTGGCAGTGTCACGGGCACGTTTGGTGCCATGGAATTGGACTTCTCCTCATACAGTCATCGCTCAGCCGGGGCTGTTTCTTATGGTAATAACGAAAATGAGCATCGTAATTTTGGTGGCGCGGGTAGTAACATTGGTGGCTCCACTTTGACATTGGGTTTGCAACAGCATAATGGTGGGAATAATGGGGTGAGCTTGGCATTTTCACCCACATCACAGAATTCTCTATTCTACAATAGAGACCACATTGAAGATTGCCAGCCAGTTCAGTATTCGCTTTTGGACGCGGAGGGACAGAATTTGCCTTATAGGAACTTGATGGGTGCACAATTGCTTCACGACTTGGCCGGATAGAAATAAAAGCAGAAAGATCAATTGAGCGATGATCAGCTGGCCGGTGATGTTTGCCGGAGTACGTACTTGTCAAATGATGGCAGATAACTACATGGGATCGATATAGATAAAAATACTTGATACATATATATATATATATATATATAAAGCTATACCTAATTGGGGGGTTAGATACACTGAAAATACACTCCACACTTCCATGGCTAGCTAGTTATTTTACATGTTTTTGTTGCTTAATTGGAAGATCATTTTGATCACAATTAGGCTGGACTATTGGAAATGCCAGTGGTTAATGCTGAAATTAGTATATACAGATATTTCTTTCCTCTTTTGGGTAGATTATATATGTAACTGAACAAATTAACATATTATATTAATTGGCAAGGTTCTCTCCCTCTCAAATCTCAATACACACACATACACAATATTGGAGATCTTTTGATAGCCCAAGCTAACTGATTACATCATTTTGTGGCTGTAGTTTGAAGCAAAGTTCCGTTTGTTGTTGGGGCACATGAAGATTTTTTTTTCTTCTTCTTCTTCTTCTTTTTTCTCACGGCGACAATTAAATTAAGCTGGAAAATTGGTTAGGGTCCACATTTTTGGAGCTAGAATATTGATTAAGACTCTTGGTTTAGATATTACAAAATTATTATGATAAATATATATATATATATATATATATATATATATATATATAGTTGTGGTCCCTTAACCATTTTCCAAAAGATAATATTTCGTGCTCGAAAGAATTGATAGCTTTTTCATTTGTGTCAAGTGTGGGATTGTTTATGATAGCCACCACTTTTTGCTGGTTGGAAGATGCTTTCATTTAACTGCCTTTTTAAAGATTACAAGTATAGAAGGTGATAGCTATATATATATATTTTTTTCGAACGGTAGGTGATAGATATATATTGTGATGCCGTTTATACCATGAAAGTGCTATTGCCCGCCTAAATTGAATATGCAGGCAATGTTACTTCTCCATTGCAGACACGGTCCCTACAAGATCAGAAACTTCTTAATAATGCACTATTAATTTCGGGTTATTTACACACACAAACACACCCCTATATTGTTATCATATATATATATGCATGTAAATCTTATCAGTCCTTTTCTGCTTACCTTGGTCAAGATAAGCAAAATAGGTGAAACAATTTTAATTACTTGAAGCATTTACAGATCATTTCAAATATATTTTAAATTGGTACAACTATATATAAGCATGGTCAATTAAGGCTCAGTTTGGTTCAATAAACATACAAGGAAGGACATTGAGTGTACCAATATATAGTACCAAAAGAGACATGAATAATGATTAATGTATTATTGGATTGCTATGTCATGGAAATTTTTTGCATGAAGTGTGATGAATGAGCCAATCTTAGAATTTTTGTTTCCTTTTGTTTTCAGAAAGAACATGTATTGAAAAAAATCCATTAGTCCCGTGACTCCCGTCAATCTATCAACCCAATAACAGTACGTGCATCATGGAAGAAGAAATAAAATGGGACTATAGATCGAATTTAAATTAGCAAAGGTGAGATAATTATAAGTCTTCCGTCCTTTTTTACCAGCATTACGACCGTGATCAACATTGGGTAATGATCTTTCATAATTTGTGATGACTCTGTGTTTTGTCTTGAACTCCTTTCATATGCATCGACCTAGCACAGTATTATTAGCCTCTTGATATACCATGTGTTTGAAATCAAAGTAGAGAACGGATTTTTGAAGAAAATGGGTAGTTTTACACTGGTTCAACTTGGATGAAAGACTAGGGCAGCCTTACTCATACGGTATTTACCTTTCAAAAAAAAAAATGAAAAATGAATTCTTACACTTCGATCCATTAGGTAGTTTCAGAGGATTGTTTTCGGAGAAAATGAGTTCAATTCTATTAATCATTCCATTGTCAAAACTCTTACTCTTTTTTGTTGATGAGCTACAAAGATACCTATTTCTATAAAAATATTAGTTATGCCTTTACAAATACAAATCATATTGGCAATTGCAATATGAAAATTGTCTTTTAGGATTGCTTAGGAGATCTATTGGTCCCGGCCCACGAGCTTGGTTCCGTTAAGCTATTGGCCATTGGTTACTTCAATCATTTTTACAATCAAATAACCAAAGCATAACTATTCTTTATGCTTTGTTCGGTAAGAAAAAAAAAAAAAAAAATTAAATGGAAGGGAGAAAATAAAGGATGGATGAGACATTTTTGAGAAAAAGATTGTATATTTCTTCTTTTTGTTAGGTTGGATAATTGAGAAAAGAATAAACTCATAATTTATTATGCTAGTTGTAATTATTTTAATCATTATATCAAATAATATTTATAATATTGTAATTTATAAAGGATAATATTGTAATTTAAAACTTGTATACTTTAGGATGGTATTTAATTTTAAATTTTTATAACAGTATACTTGTCTTTCTTCCTTTCTTCATCCCATTTTTAGGTGGATAAAAATTTGTATAGGAGGAATAATTATTTTTCTTTCCTTGTATCTTTGCCGAACAAAGAAAGTTATTCTTTTCTTTTTATTTTCTCTCCACACCTCTTCTTTCTTTTTTACCCAACACAACATTAGTTATTTAATTATTTAAGGTTTGGAGTAATCGATCACCATGGAATTGAGGAAATCATTCCAACAACAATTAAGAGGGTTAACCGAAAATGACTTGTAATGTACAATTACTATATTATCCTCGTTATTGCTATTTTTGAAAAGTTATATATATTAATATTATTATATGGATTAATTTATCATTTTACAAGAATTATTCAGTTTCATTCATTAAAGGTCAAATTTGGCATTTTAAAAAACTTATATGATGAAACTAATGGTAGGATTGAGCTTAAATCTGACAAGTTCAAAAAACACAAGTTCGGACTCAACTCTTCATTATTTTGAAAAAACTATGACTAAGCTTGTATAATAAGAAGAACCATTTGAACTCAATTTAAACTCATGTTGAATTTTGCTAAACCTAATTCACGAACTTATACAAACTTACACAATTTTATTAATGAACGTATATGTTCATGGATTTATATAAACATGTTCACTAACTTATACCAACTTACATGAATTTATATTCACAAGTGTTTAGATAACTCGTTTATTATATGAGTGTTGACTTTAAAATCGGTTAGCTAAAATTGATTTAGAAATTTGGTAGTGTGGGCGTGCCAAAACCAACAATGTGGTTCAAATGTGTGTAGTTAATTGTAGTCTGTTTTAAAAAATAACTAACAGGCAATTATAGGAGAAAGATAATATAAACTACTCCGAGAATTCAATTTGCCTTCATTAAAAGGACTTTTAATAGTGAATGAATAGTAACAATTGTGAAAATAGAATAGGGGAAAGGAAGTAGATATAGAGAGAGATAAATGGAAAGATGTATAGGGAAAGAGATTAATAAGAATAATAAGATTGCTAAATGGGAAAAGTAGAATTAGGAAGGGAAAGTTTAAGAAAGCATAATTACATTAAAATAAAGATTCATTTATTTCATGTATAAGCTTTCTTTTCCACAAATCCACAAATTCACAATAGTTGAAAAATATGATAATATGTCTCTTCCTTTTTTGTCCCTCTATGGGTTGTTTTTTGGCCAAAGGCCCACACTGTACTCAAACTTTTCATTTATAACAATTACTTAAAATTTTGAAACAAAAAAGAAAAAAAAAAAAATCACGTAAAGTTTGAGCACAATACAATTATCCTATCATATAATCACATACGGAACTGCCACTTCATCATTCAAATACATGTCACGGTTGCCACCTCACTGCCCATGTAATTTGTCAAAATGGGTGTCAACAATAAACCTAAAAATTAATTTATTTACTTAGTGAATCGCCATAATCAAACTTAACGTTAAATTCATTTTTAGCATGAGGAACCCAAAGGAGTGAAACGAAATTTTTACTTTTTTTTATTTTTTTATATACAAAGCTTTCTTCATAATTTACCACTAATTATTTATGATCCAAGAAGTTTTATATCGAGGAGAGGAGTTGCCATGGATCGACCCGTCCAACTCGCCGAGTCACACCGACTCAGCGTTTTGCAATTCACACTTATACAGGTGTTAATTTGCAAAGACACGACATATTGTCTCAACTATCAACTCTGACCCCTCTCTCTTTCGGACGAACCAGTTCTGCAGTTTGGCGCTGCCTTGAGGATCGAATATATATAGGGCGTAAGTTTGCTATTCTGAGGTATATTGCATCAACGAAACATAATTTCTCTATCTATGTTTGATTTCTTTCTTGTAATCTGATTGTAAACCTAAGGTTTTAAGATTGCAACCACATTTTGCATCTCTCACCTTGGCTACGTCTCACATTTGCGTGATATCGTTAATTAGGGTTTTTGTTCTTAATCTTCAATTCTCTTCGATTCCGATTCCTTACCACTATTGTGCGTGATCATCTCTTTACGTTTATACAAATTTATTTTTTTATGCATATAAACACATATGTGGCTCTATATAGATACCTGAGCTATAAATCTGATGAGATTTTTCAATCCTTTCCGGTATTGGGTATTGAATTAATCTATTATTAATTAAATCAATATGTAATTGGAATCAAAGTTGAATATCTTTTTCTTAATTGTTCGAGAATTCTATGTTATATTATTGCAGGACTTATTGTGTTGAGAACTTGTCGGTTTGATTGAATTCAAGTGGTTCGGTTCTTTGCAAGATGGACTTAGTGTCTGGTTACAAGGTATTATGCTCTCACTAGTTTACTACCCTGTGTTAATGGCATAAAAATATGCTTTTGAAGAGTACAATTCATATGAATATAGACATGAAATGTCGCGGTGTGAATATATTTTTTTTTTTATCTTATGTTGACATGTGATTAACTTACAAATTTGTTGTAGGGAGTTGTTGGGCTTGTATTTGGAAATGAGGGTTCTGGTTCAAGTGAAGATAGGTAAATTTTTTATGTTCATGCTAATTGTTATAGTTAAAGAGTTTTCAGCTGGGTATTGGTTAAATGATTATGCAATGCAGGACCTGTATTTTCTGTGCCTTTATCCTAGGTTGATTAACAGTTCAAGCTATGGCTTACTTGCAGTTCTAAACAATTTGTTCTTTTTCATTGAAACGAGAGAAAAAACGTACTAGCTACCTCCGGGCCTTTATAAAAATTGAATTGGTCTATACATGCCACTAGCTTAACTCTATGAGAACTTTATTTGTGCCCAAATGCAGTATAACTTGGAACATATACAGAACTTTGTGTTTTGGTGTCAATACTAGTTGTGGTGGAATGATGCCGTTCCTTACTTCACTGAAGAATAGAAGATTAGGCATTGGAACTCTTCTGGATCATTTTCGTTTTTTATTTTATTTTTCTAGTGTTAATTCTCAAGAAAGAAACATTGGTGCTGACTATTACATATATTTTTTTTCTTTCTAAACTCTAAATAGTCCTCAAAACATTTTGTATTCTTGTATGTGTACTATGAGAAGAGAAGAGAGAGAAGAAGGATATGTTTTCTTTTTTTTTTTTTTTTTTTTTTTTTGGGGGGGGGGGGGGCACAAAATAAAATATATATATAAAAAATATTTCCAATAGTTTATTGAATATTCTGTCAGGTCAATTCTATTACTACTTCCAGGGGGGTTTTCTTCTATGAAGCCTTTTGTCATTTTTACGCGTTTTATAATATATCAAGCTGGAATTTTTTTCATTGATGTACATTTATTTGTTCTTTATCGAAGAAATTATGCTATTGTCCATATATGCCACTATTCTATACTACTTCTATTTCTAAACATTTTGTTCTTAAATTCTTAATTTTGTTGGACTTATTTTATTCAATTATTTGTATCTCTAGCTATGTTGAACGCTTGCTCGACCGTATAAGCAATGGTGTCCTGGCGGAGGATAGGAGGACTGCTATTACCGAACTTCAATCTGTTGTAGCAGAAAGTCATGCTGCCCAGCTAGCTTTTGGGGCAATGGGTTAGTAATTATTTCTTTTTGGATAAAATTTGATGCTTTCTCTTACATGCTTGTTACATATAATAATCTATTCACTTCTTTTGCAGGCTTTCCAGTACTTTTGAGTGTCTTAAAGGAGGAGCGAGATGATGTTGAAATGGTTTGAGACCTTCTACCAGTAGTCTGTTGACTTAATGTCTTTTTCATATTTAGTTTTGTACCTTTCTTGAGAAATAAATGTCATGGTCTCTGTTTTAAACAAATAAACTGGAAACTGAACCATAAGCATTCCACTGTATGGCGATTCGATATTAAGGTCCAGTTACTTTAACTTTAAAGTAATTTTTAAAAAATAAATAAATGTTAAGAAGAGGAAGACCTTCACTTCAACATTTAATATCATGTAAATGCATAATCAACATCTGAAATGTAGCATTTTCAGAAACACTCTTAGTGTATACCACGTTAAAATTTTCTTGCAGAGTACAGTGTTTTTGGATACTCTTTAATCCCGTTGTCCATTTACAAATCCTATTATCTTTAATACTCACTTAGAGAAGCTTCAAGGAACTGAGTTGTGTTAATTATTGTGGTTACCCATCCTGCTGCATCAGACCACCTCTTAATGCTGCTAATGGAAAATAGTGTGGTCCTTTCTGCTTTTACACTGTAGTGTACAATCTTTATAATGTGTTACCCATCCCATTTTATATATCATAAAATGACTGATGTTGCTTCGGAGGCTTGCAGGTCCGAGGTGCTCTTGAAACTCTTGCTAGTGCTTTGACTCCAATTAATCATGTAAAAGGGCCAAAGAATGAGGTTCAACCAGCTTTAATGAACACTGATTTGCTTTCTAGGGAAGCAGAAAGCATTTCTCTTCTTCTAAGTCTGTTGGTGAGAATTAGATATTATGATCTTTGAACCTGAATAATGTATCTATTGAATTTTATTTTATTTTGCCTATACCTGTTCATTTTGTTAAGTATGTTTCTGGCAGTCGGAGGAGGATTTCTATGTACGGTATTATACACTTCAACTTCTGACGGCCCTTCTTACAAATTCTCCAAATAGGTACTCTTTCCATGGCCACTTTCTTTCTTTTTAAAATTTTGGATCATGGTAGAATAGAATTTACTGAGTTCCTGTTCAGGTTACAGGAAGCCATTCTGACCATTCCTCGTGGTATCACTCGGCTTATGGATATGCTTATGGATCGTGAGGTATGAATTTTTTGCTGTTTATTTAATTTTATTTTCAAATATTTTATAGTTTTACACCATAGTTTGACAAAAGTTTACGAGTGTTCTGGACATAACCTTGATAATTTCTTGTTCAATGTCCTAAACATTAGCCATTCCCAAATAATTTATATTTTTATACCAATAATAGAAAATTTATCACAAGTTATTGTGGATGTATATATTCAGTAGCCTTGTTTATTTCTTTTTCAATGTCCTGAATATTAGGCATTTACTTTTATCTAAAAAAATTCCTGAACTGGATTTTGCCTAATGGAACTTCCTGTCAAACAAAAAATGTGAAGTTATGTCCTTTTGTCTTGTTCTTCTTGTTGTTGGATGCTGAAAAATGTGTGGCTACCTTCTAGGTTATACGAAACGAAGCCTTGTTACTCCTAACTTACTTGACACGTGAAGCTGAGGTGAGCTCTTCATTCTTTTGTTGTCATTTTTGTTTTCTATTTCTGATCCAATCTCAAACTCTTGGTACCCTTTTTTGGTTCTGCTTCACTAACTGATATTCACAATGTTAGGAAATTCAAAAAATCGTGGTCTTTGAAGGTGCTTTTGACAAGATTTTTAGTATTGTAAAAGAGGAAGGGGGTTCAGAAGGTGGTGTCGTTGTGCAGGTGATTACTGAACTGCAATTTGTTCATTTATATAATTGTTTGTTTTATGGTTCTGCCATTTTCCTTTCTAGGTTTTTGGCTAATATTTCTCTTGCTATGCAAGTGATCTTTTGAGAAGAATTAGTGGTATTGGTCATCTTTCCTTTTATGCCACTTTAATATTTACTAAGGTTTGAGTAGTTCACTTCAAACTGCTCAAAGTGAATGTACTAAGTACTACGAATTACATAAAAATTCCAACTTCCAAAGATTCCACCTTAGTTTCTACTTCTAGTGATTCCTGTAATGCCCTTGTCTACATTTTAACTTGGTTTATGCTTGATGGTTTGCTGCTCTTGCGAACCATCTTGCGTGCACCATCTGCACCTTAAGAATCTTCTACCATCATCTAATTCTGATTGTGTTGAATTCTCATTCATATTTTCAAGCATTTGAAGTGCACTGTGAGGAGTTTAAATATATGACTGATAATGTTGCTGATATATTTGTCATTGCACAGGACTGTCTCGAATTGTTGAACAATCTCCTATGTAACAATGCATCCAATCAGGTTTTGGGCTTTCTATTGTTTTCATTATAACTGTGCAGTTCTTTCTGTTGCTAACCGTGGTCGGTATTCTATAGGTACTTTTGAGGGAGACGTTAGGCTTTGATTCCATATTATCAATTTTGAAGCTCAGAGGAAGTACATACAAATTTACCCAGCAAAAGGTTAGGCACTCAATATATTTGTAACTTTAGTCAGTTTCTGTAACTACTGTGTGCCTGTGTATACACCATGTATATGAATTTATATATGCTATCACATAATCCTTACTGGTCATTTTTTCTTGTCTTTCAAACTCATATCATGCCAGTAGACGATAAATCTACTCAGTGCGTTAGAAACCATTAGTTTGCTGATTGTTGAAGGTCCGGAAACTGAGACTGGAAAAGATGCCAATAAGCTGACCAACAAAACAGTCTTGGTTCAGGTCTGTTCAGAATTATTATATGCTTTAATTTATACCTAAAGAAGCTTTTAGTTTATTAACATTTCTCTAATTAATCTATTTTATTGGTTGCAGAAAAAAGTTCTTGACCATCTATTAATGTTAGGAGTTGAAAGCCAATGGGCTTCTGTTGCAGTGCGTTGTGCGGTAAGATCTGCTTTTGATTCATCAGATGTTTTCTTCTTATTTATCTCTTTCTTTCTGGCTTTGTGTTTGTGTGCATGACCTTGTGCATCCAGTTTGTGTGTGTTAAAAAGTTACACTTCTAATGATGGAATGCATGCAACTCCAGCTTGGATGCTAGGTTACTTGAGAAAGCCAATATGGATTTTTGCTACAGATTGCACAATCTACATTGTGGAACATCTTTATCTCTTATATATCCAAAATGTTTAAAATGTATAGTTGTTTACAAGGTTTTATTTTATGAGTACTTTTTTACACGGTTAAAGAAAAAAATGCGGTTTTAGTTAGCATACGTTGTCCTGATTGAGTAATTCAAATGAGGCCATCCCCGTCATATGACAGATGTGAAGTATGTGGCACACCATGTACCTTTCTTTCTTCTGCATATTATAAATGATTTGTATTACTGGTACCATTGCTCTGACGAATGAAGAAAATGTCAGTCTCTCCTCATGGTCAGCCTTCCAGCACATCCTTGCATATTGAGTAGATTGTTTGTGTGAATTATGCAGGTCTCTAATGGCTGAAAACATAACAAGAAGCCTACTGTTAGTAGTCCATGGTAGTATTTTTGCTCTCCAAAAAAAAAAAAAGGATTCAATCATAAGATCATGACAATAATAATGCCCATCAGTAAAGCAAAATGTCATTTGAACTTGTGTATGTGTGTTGGAGAGGGGTGGGAAGTGCTAATTAACTTCTTCTTCTTCTTCTTCTTCTTATTATTATTCTTGACTTGTTTATTTACTTCTCCCTTGGTCCTTCACAATGATATATTCCTGCTTATTTTAAATGGTTTCGTGAAGGCTCTTTAGCCTTTGATAATCTCCAAGAGGAGGAGAGAAAAGAGGGAGGGGGGGGGGGGGGGGGGGGGGGGGGGGGGCGCTGGTGTTGTGGAGGGGAAGGAAAAAAAGGGAATCAAGTGTGCTACTAAGGCCATGCTTTACTGATTTGAATGCATATGCATGAGCTTTACATTAAAACATGTCGTGAGATATAAAGAATGTTTATTGGCCATAACTTTACCTACATAGTACAATAAAGATATTCTGGCTTTCAGCTAGCTGAAAATAGGATGGCAAGCAAAATTAAGTATTCTCTGGGGCTGCTAATATTCATGAGAGGCTTTGTAACAATGTCAGGCACTTCGATGCATTGGTGATCTGATTGCTGGTCATCCTAAGAATCGTGATGCCCTTGCAAGTAAAATTCTTGGAGAAGAGCCAAATGTAGAACCTGCTCTGAATTCTATCCTTAGAATCATCTTGCGAACTTCTAGCATGCAAGAATTTCTTGCAGCTGACTATGTTTTTAAGAGCTTCTGTGAGGTCAGTAATGCATTTGTTCTGAATTGGTCATCGTGTTATAATTTCAGTTTGTTCATACATTCTTTTTCATATACTCTTTTTGTTCTGTTCCTTCTTTTTTTTCCCGTGTGCCTCTATGTGCATTGAAATTGTTTTCAATTATATTTATATGCCTGCTACATTTCATTTGAAGCAGAATAACTCTGATGGTCAAACAATGTTAGCATCCACATTAATTCCACAACCGCAGTCAACACTTCATGCTCCGGTTGAGGAGGATGTGAACATGTCCTTTGGAAGGTTGTTTGTTCCCTTTCATTCTACACTGTATTTTTCTTTTTAAACTAAGAAGATATTGAGCTTTTATGACTTGATTGAGCTGAACTGAGAATGTGCGTTCTTCAGCTTTTCTGGCTAGGACTCGCTGGCTCTGATGATTAACTTTTCAAGATTTTGTTTCTTTGCAGCATGCTTCTACATGGTCTTACTATGAGTGAAAATGACGGTGACCTTGAGGTAAAATTATACTTTTCTTATGTCATTTTAAAATTTTAAAGACATTAAACATCTGGCCATTGAGTGGTTCTTCTTTATTGTGGAGGAGTGCATTGGTGATCCATTGTTTTCATGCGTTGGATAGTACTCAGTATTAGAGTATTTAATCCCCCATTTAGTATTTTGATGCATTCGAAAAGGAGAGAAATAGGAGAAGTTTGAAGAACTTAAACTCTATTTTCTTTTTGGGAAATATATTTCTATATATAGTAATCAATGTTGCTACTCGTTTTGTCTGGTTATTCAAAATTGTTCATAGGATCATAATTTCCTGTCTGCATCACAAACAGCTCGTTTTTTTCTCTGTTTTGTTGTTGCTTAGTGTGTGAGAACCATCTGGCTAATATTTTTGAATGCAGACTTGTTGCAGAGCTGCTAGTGTCCTTTCTCATGTGCTGAAGGACAACATAGAATGCAAAGATAGGGTATGCAGTTTATTTCCTTGTTTATGTTTTTTTAGATTGTACTACTATTAGGATCTTGTCATGGAACATCTGCTTTAGAAAATAATTTTCAGCAATTTAGTTAAACTTTCTTTGAGGCTTTACTTGTTCTTTTTCCCCCATCTTTTTTAAAACATATAATTTAATGCAGGTTCTGCGAATTGAACTTGAGGCACCGATGCGTTCCTTAGGAGCGCCGGAGCCATTAATGCATCGTATGGTGAAATACTTGGCTCTTGCTTCTTCCATGGAAAATAAAGATGGAAAATCAAGCACATCAGGGTTTTTGTATGTTCAACCAATTATCCTGAAATTGTTAGTCACTTGGCTCTATGATTGCCCTAGTGCAGTGCTATGTTTCCTAGATTCACGTCCTCATCTAACATATTTACTTGAGTTGGTATCAAATCCATCCACAACTGTATGCAGTAGAGGGCTGGCAGCAGTTCTTTTGGGAGAGTGTGTCATTTACAATAAATCTGGTGACGGTGGAAAGGATGCTTTTACCATAGTTGACGCTCTAAGCCAGAAAGTTGGTCTCACATCATACTTCTTGAAGTTTGATGAGATGCAGAAAAGCATTCTATTTTCCTCTTCTAAACCATCCCAGCCCCGTAAACCAATGACAAGATCAACTGCTGCTAGTATGGCAGAGATTGAAGATGTTGACGAGAATCAGTTAACTAATCAGAAGAATGAAGATCATCCACTACTTGGGTCGATATTTGATGCTCAGTTTGTTAATTTTGTTAAGAGTTTGGAGGCAGATATTAGAGATAGCATTGTGGAGACTTACAGTCATCCAAAGAGCAAGGTAGCTGTGGTGCCAGCGGAGATAGAACAAAAGGGTGGGGAAACTGCTGAAGACTATATCAAGCGGCTGAAATCATTTGTGGAGAAGCAGTGCTCCGAGATACAGGTATGGTCATTTGGATAATTAGTGTTTTCCTATAATTTCTTAATTCATATTAAGTTTTACTTTCTGAACGAAAAATGATGGTCTAGCATTACACTTTTATTTATTTATTTTTAAATTCCCAATGTCCAAATTATGCAACATGATTGGCCTAGGTCGTAGTGTTTGTAGCTCTCTCACTAGTAGGTCCTTGATGACTTCTTTCTTTTCATCTGGTGTTCTCTGTTCCTTGGAAAACCTTGAGAAACCCAAGTCAGCAGGCCTCAATTCAGTTCAAACAGTAGACAGACAAATTCTTTCTGACCTAGTAATTGATTATTTAACAAACATGTTACTGGTTGCTGCATGAATAATAGACGATGCTAAATTCACCCAGAAAGGGTAAGAAATTTTGCTAACCTTTATGATACCATCATAAAATTAGCTTATAGTTGCCTCTATTCTCCCGATGCTATCCGTTAGTTGGAGTTTGGATGAATTTCTTGTGATGTGGGCTAGAGCTCTTCTTGTTGGGTATTGTAATCTTGCTGTGTTGTTCAATCTTTTAATCGCTTTGACGTCATACTTAAATTACCTTCCATTTTGTAGTAAGCCTTCCCGCACACCTTTCATAGTTTTGTTTGCTATAATAATGTTAAAATTAATCATTGCATGCCATGTCACAGTTGTGGCATGGTGCCTTAAGTGTATTTTTCCTCCCATCTTCTGGATATTTACAAAAGACAACTTCAAAATGCTTGCATTTTAGATGTGGGATGAAATACTTTTGACATGGTGTTTTCCCTCCTTTTTTTTTTCAAAGGACCTTCTTAGTCGGAATTCGTCTTTGGCTGAGGATTTGGCCAAGATAGGTGGAGGTGGTTCTTCCTGGCATGAGCACAGAGCTACTGGGGGCTCAGAAAGAGTCCAGACCGAGACACTCCGGAGAGATCTTCAAGAGGCCACCCAACGGGTAGAGATGCTCAAGACTGAGAAGGCCAAGATAGAATCTGAGGCTTCCATGTACCAAAATTTAGCTGGGAAGATGGAGTCGGATCTGAAAAGCTTGTCCGATGCTTACAACAGTCTGGAACAGGCAAACTTCCATCTAGAAAAGGAAGTGAAAGCTTTAAAGAGTGGGGGAGCCACGGCATCTCCAGATATTGAGGCAATAAAAGCAGAAGCAAGGGAAGAAGCCCAGAAGGAGAGTGAGGCAGAATTAAACGATTTACTTGTCTGTCTTGGGCAAGAGCAGAGCAGAGTGGAGAAGCTAAGTGCAAGGTTGTTGGATTTGGGGGAGGATGTAGAAAAGCTGCTTGAAGGTATAGGAGATGAAGTCGGGCTTCCTGAAGATGGTGAAGAGGAGGAAGACTAGTGGTAGATTTGTGTTACAGTTTTTATGTTTGAAGTCATTGCGTTGTATTCTTCCACCGTTGCCCAGGTATGGCTGATTGTGTTGGCTCTTTGTACATCTGGTATTTAATTTATGACATCGAAACCCATGTTCAATGTGATCTTCTAAAGTTGAATTTAAATTATTTTACTTAGGACCTGCCTGGATCATCATAGTTTGGGTAATGATTTCAAAATTCACCCTTTAAAAGGATTAGAGTTGTGAATTAAACTATATACTGGGTAGCAAATATTGAAAATCTAGAGGTGCACTGAATAAAAATCATTTTGTTTTACATAGAGCATTTGACATTTATCTATTATGTTTTTTCACACAAATGTACAGGGGTGTGGTTGCCTCACCTTCAACCCAATGGAGCAGAAGTGAGGAAAATTACTAGGCAGAGAGAAAATTTTGCCAGCAATGTCATCTCTCGAGAAATTTCACTACATTTTTACTCACATCTCATTCTTAAATTTTAGGTAATGATTTTTTAGCTTTATACATTGTTTGACGATTCCATTGCCGGTTCAAATCCAAGGATAAAAAATAATGACAAATCGAAAGGGAAATTTCTGAAAATATCCAATTCCTAAGATAGTGTTTTAAAATCTTGCAGTTCCAACACCTTACCTGAACTCATTTATTATGTGTTTCCATTTTTTTGATCAAGTGAATGGATTTAAGAACACCCTTAACCGGAAAGTAGAAGTTGAGGATAAATAATCAACTTGTGAAAATGTTACTCAACGAAATGGAGTAATAACTATCTTATTCCACGAGACTCAGCGAATAACTTTGTTCATCCCTTGTTGGCAATAACTAGAATGTAACATGTTTTGTGTTATTGGTCTCGATTTTTGAACAGAAAAGTACACCACACAAATGTGAGCCGGACAAAAATTATACAAATTTAAACTGGAGAGCTATATATTGTGCACATACGGTTTGGATGAACCGGTGCACTATGCATTCAGCGTCGAGCTCATTCGAGCCGTACGTAGTGCGCATACGGCTCGAATGAACTGGTGCATCTACGACTCGAATGAACTGGTGCCGGATCGGCGCTTAGGAGGTGCCACTGTAAAGGGGTCCCAATTTTGGAGGGTCCCCAAAAATTTTTATGTGCCCATATATGTAGTATATATAATGTGAAAAATATTTTATTTATAAAATGAATTGCAGTTCAGTTGGTGAAGGCTACATGTAAAGCAACTTATTTTTAATACAGCCCACTTGTAACTTATATATATATATATAAACTTAGGTCGAGTGAAGGAAAATGCAGCCTAATCTGACTTATTTTTAATGCAGCCCATACAATCCAATCAACCCAGCTTACTTGTAACTTAGGGCCGGCCCTAGCTGGTGCATCATGTGTCAACGTTCACATGTGGCCGTTGAACGGCTGAATCCACAATCATTGTGACATGTGTAAAACTTCTCTTCCACAAATTTTATTTCAGGGTTTAATTTGTCTCCAACAAATCATAGTGGTGTGGTAGATGAATGTAGTCGGCCAACTGCCCCACTCCTAAAAATTGGAAATTGGAAGGTGTGATAGTGGTGGATCATAAGTGGGGATGGTAATGGGGGCGGGGCGGGGTCGTCACTGAATTTTTTAATTTCCATCTTCGTTTTTATTTTCGCTTAAAATTTTACCACCACCTCCATACCCGCCCCCGACCTCTTATCCTCAGTCCCAGTCCCGATTAATATATATTATTTTTTTTAAAAAATATAATTTTTCTTATTTTTATATATATAATAAATCTAATTTAACAATAAATTATTAAATGTAAGAATATATTAGTAATTTAATATCTAAAAAGGGCGAGTTTATCCCATCCTTGCCCCTGCAAATTTTTAAAATTTATCCCCATTTACATAAAAAGGTTCCCATCTCCGCTATAAACGGGAAGGAGGGACGGGACGGGGTTCCAACGGAGTTGGAGAATTTATCATCCCTAACCATAAGCATTGTAACATCACCAATAAAATCCACTTTAGCTTCCTCCATCCCTGGATGGGATGAAGACACCTCATTCTTCTCCCATTAACTGGCAATGGAAAGTTGTGAAGCCACGTGTAGCTATCCATGATATTGCACGCATAATTAACACTCTAATGTGAAGTTGTGAACTCACACCATACATACAAAAAGACTCTGAGAAGAGTCAAAACACCATCATAACATATAGACTTGCTATTTTCATCACCTTCACAGACTTCCACTTTACCCATATCATTCTTCTATTTCTCATTTTAATAAAATTAGTAAGGAAAGATATGATAAATTAGAATGAAAATATAAAAAAAACTTCTTAGTTTTTGTCTTGTTTTTTATTTTACTTTTACCAGGGCCTTGGAGCCTTAGATACTTACTCGCCCTTCAATGGTTCAAGTCCGACAAAAGTGGGTGTTGAGTGTGTTTTTTTTCTTTTTTTTTTTTTGAAAAAAAAAATCTTTAATATTTTCTATCCACTGCTTTTTGCCTGGTACGTAACATTAATCATTATCGATATAGTCACTCATCCAAAAGGTGGAGTGAAAAACTACAATGCTCTTGAATGACTCAATTTGGCCATGTAAAAAATGAAGGGACCGGACCATCCACACCTAAATGACAGAAAAAAGAGTCCCTAATTTAATGAAAACATAACAAAAATAATGTCGGTGTAAGCCATCCTAATCATATATTATGCCATATAGGTTGAACAGAATCATGCCGAAACGAAAAGCCTAAAAAGTAATCAGACATGAGTAGTTGCTTCCTAAACCAAAAAAAAGGGCATTTGAAACCACCAAGAAACAATCAATAAACTTAAACCTGTTTAAGTAGGCCTGTTTCGACTAATAAATCTTGTGTCACCTTGGCCACATTTTGATTAAAACTAAAGAAACATCATGCATTTATATTAAACACACATGGTCATGATAGAGCCATAATAAAAATGAAATTTGTCGCCCAACCGACATAAACCACCAAACCTTATATTCCATAAATCCAAAAGGGTCGGTCGAATACAAACTTCAACATTCGTCCACATATAGATTGATTTTGGTTACCTACCATGATCAATTTGTTAAGGTTCACAAGACAAAGACTACACTTTGGTTTGATAATAGTCTCAAACATATGTGCAGGTTTAACAAGATTTGCTACATATTAAGAGTAAGCTTCAGGCTGCAATATAAGCTAATGCATGTTGAAGTCAAAATTGTCCATAGAAATTGCAAATTGTCACAAACACGAAATAGATATGCCATTGCCGGTCACCTTGATGTATCTTATTAGAGTATTTTCAATTTAAGTTTGTGATCCACACACTATAAATTCCTTTTCGATCTAGGGTCAATGGCGTTCTCAAATCACATGCTCTCCCAATAAATAAATTTGATTCTTGTACTATTAAGCATTTTTCATAGCATGTGTTCCATACGAGAAAAATCCTCAAGTTCTAACCATGTCTTTGAGCATCTAAGTTAAGTGGAGCACATGCTGCCGTTGAAGGAACGCTACTTAACAATTCTCACCCCCAACACCACACATGCACACACCTAAATAGCCCCAAATAGATAAGAAATTATTTAATTAGAAACTACATTGTGATTAATCATTGTATGATATAAAAGTGTGAATTCCATTTTTTTAATACTAACCTACCTATTTTCTAACCCAAGAGGAGACCTTTGCAAGAATTCTGAAGGCATAAATTTACAACAAAGGATTAAAGCTAATAATCAACATGAAGAAAGATAGAACACAAAGAAAAAGAAGCTCTAATGCTTTGGGTTATGATTAAATTTGACTTATCTCACCTTCCCTACATATACCCACATCCACCACCATGCTTCTTCTCTTAGATTCCAAGATCCTGCAACAGTTTCTCCTCGGAGACTGCACAAAAGCAATCGAAAAAAAAGCCAATGAAACTCACATTACAAGATATATATACCAACTAAAAGTGTGTATTATATGTTATATGGTTTCGCGTGTGATTATATTACTCACAATGTCAGGGATTAATTAAAATATAAGCAACGAATTTACCCATCACACAAAAACTATATTTTGCATTCGAAGACAACTGTCATAAATTCTCTTGGCTTATATATGGCCATCCAGTGATTGCAAAACCAAATTGAATTGAGTTTTCGCACTAAAATTAGGTTTTGTTGTAATGCAGAATGTTAATAGAAATTCAAAGTAAACAATGTAAAAAACAGATATGGTGCTTACCCTATCCCATAAATGTGGGTCGGGTTTCTTATGAACCTCGACTCTGTCAAGTTCAGCAGGATCCGCCATCTTCCATCTGCACTCTGGATGAGGAACTTGATGCCGATCATACTGAGTCACCGTTTGATTCCCTAAAGAATTTAATCCCGCCTTTGAAAAGTAAAAGACAAAGGGCTTCTGACACAGGTTCCGGCTAACTGGACGTGTGTTGAATGCGTAGGCCGTGTAATCTGCTCTTCTATACCAATTCAAGAATGTCCTTGAGGGCATTTCTATCTCTCGTGGCGATAGGACACCCCTAAAAATTTGAACTGCAAAGCCCCACGACACTGAAACGGTCCACTTCTTTGCTTTGTCATAGCAAATGGACTGTTGCATGAGACCTGCTGAATCAAGCTTCATTGGAATCATAAGCTGTTGAAGGGCTTGCACCTGGGTCATATTGGGGAATATTGGTTCCACCACATCAAGGTGGTGCAATGACACCAATGGTGTCACCGGGTGTGCCGCGAGGAGTCCAAATAGGTTCCCATACACATCATACTGAATTGCCATCCACCAAGAAGAGACTGATCACTGTTAGAATTCAGTCACAAGCTTTCATGACTATGATCATGCACAATGACATTATCAAATATTCAGCTTCACTTTTTTCTTTAAAAAAACAAAAAAGAAGCCGGCACTCATACCACCACACATGGTCCCAATTCTGACCAAGCATCATTTTCTAGAAAAAAAAAGGGAAAAATCATACCACCACAACCTTTTGGTCAAGAATCCAAGTAATGGAGTGTTACTCCATGTGAGACACTCATATTTTCTTATGAAATTTTAAATATTAAAAAAGAGAGAGTTAAGATTTTTACTTTTGAACACGTGTCAACCGATCTCTATTAAGAGGATCCATATCGATCTTATTGTGTCAATAAATAGGTACGGTTGAACAACTAGACCGCATTGAACGCGGGCCAGAATGAGCTCAGAGCCTCAGACCATCAAGTTGTGGCCCAGTAGTGACTTTATAGAATAGATTACCATCATCAAGGAACAATATTACTGGAAATTTCTAAAAGTCTGCATTAAACTTTTATAACTTTCTATTTGGGGGGCCAACAATTCACAAAGAATTGACCTTAGCAACCCAATCCTCAACAAAAAGTTATGTTCCATTAATACTAGTGCACAATGGTTTGTAACAGGTTATACTCGATACAAAAGTAATCACCAATAATTTAGCTCAAAATGGTATATATTTCTCTTCAGAAATCGAACGAGCATAAATGCCCACACACATATAATATTACCTATAATATTTAATATTAACTAGTTCTTAACAGACTTATTCTATTCTTTACATACTATTCTAGTAACTTGTACCATTAATTTACTGCTACTAGATAATGCTGGTAAAAGTTTGTTCTTGTAGAAGTTAATGCAAAGTAACTAGTACCAAAAAATAGAATAAAAAACACACACACGCGCGTGAGTATGTTATATGTTTGTATTTACAGGTCAAATTTTATTCTTACATATAATTACTACTTATTAGTAATAACTCTGTTAGATGTTTTTGATAACGAGAATGGCCCAAAAATTTGCTCCCTAAAAGGCTAAACCCAATCGACACAAAGCACTTTGTCTGTATCAGCATGAATTTCGGCAGAACAATAGAAAATGAAAATATTACCCAAAACAAAAAAACAAAAACACCCGAAACAAAATATTGAAAACATTTAACAAGAAGAGTCGTGTGAATAGAGAAAATGCCACTGATAACGAGAATGTTCCAAAACTTTACTTGACACAGCTTTGTCAGTATGGGCCAAATTATCTGTTCAAAAAATGCATTTTCGGCGAAACAATACATAATGGAAAAATTACCCAAAACATAAAAAGCAAAAACGCCCAAAAACCACAAAATAAATAAATAAATAAATAAATAAAATACTATCAAGCCATTTTTTGTTCAATTTTCTGATTTTTTATTCTTTAGAAATAAAAAATTGTACTCAAACTAAACCAAGTAAGAAAAAAAATCAAATAACTGACCCAGAGGGGGAGAGAAAATATAAAAAATAAAAATAAAAAACACTAAAGAACCAAAACAAGAAAACAAAAACACCCAAAACAAATTAAAAAAAAAAAAAAATCAAAGCAATGCAAAATGAGTAAAGTAGAGAGAGAGAAAACACAGACCTGGTGGAAGCCGAGTTCTTTGGTGAGTGGCACACCGAGTTCAGCCATACAAGCTTGCATCCGATCATCCGACCCGTACAATCCCGGGTACCTCTGAATACACTTATCTTGCATTCTCGCCAGTGCTTTCGCCAATGGGTAGCTAATCGCAAACCCACCACCACCATAAGCCATTCCATACGAGAAATATATATTCTGCAAGTGACTCTCCGACAAACTCCCAATATAATACATCTGGGTGTGATCGTACTTTCTCAAAACCCTAATAAGATTATCGGCGACGAACACCGTGTCGTCGTCGCCCATCACGAACCACCTCACGTCCTCCATCCCTTGCCGGAGCGTCTCCGTCACGATCCGCGATATCCGAATCGCCGACCGGTGCCCCTGCCGGTTCTTGTACTTGAATTTCGTCGTGTTGCCGGAGATTCTCACCTGCGGTAGGTCCGAATCCGAATGGGTCTCCACCGGATTGTCTAGCCAGACTATGCCCCTCATTCGGATCGGGTTGTACCATAGCTTGATGTATTTTTTCCTCTGTTCCCAGAGCTTCGCGGACGCCGCAATGCCGAAGACGATGTGCTCGAGCTCCGTTCTCCTGTGGGTTGCTTCCTCCTCCGGCGCTGCCAAATGGGTCGGCTGATTATGGATTGATGGGTTTGATTGGTACTTGAAATTGGGTTTTGCTGATGATAAATGCAGAGTAGTGAAGATGTTGTCTTCGTGGCAATTTGGCGGAGAGGAGATGAGCTTGAAAGTGTAGACGAGGTAGGTGAGTGAGACGAAGAGTATGAGAAAGACCATGAGTTTGGGTAGTGCTCTGTTCTGTGATATGTGTGTGCTTGATGGGCTTTTCATTTGATCCCAAATTACTTTTTCTGAATCTTTCTGGGTAGTGACTTTCATGGTGTGAACTGTGAAGCAACAATAACAAGATTAGGAAAATGAATTTCAAACTGGTTTTAGGCTTTTTGAGAAAGGTTTGGTGTTTCGGAGAGACCCAAAAAACAGTAGATCTATGCGAGTGTTTTCTTCAATGTGTGATTCAAAAGGATATGTTGGAGAGAAGAAGATGAAGGTGGATTTAGATGACCCAATAAAAGGTTATGTATCGGGATGCTCCGATAATTGGAGGGTGGGAAAGGAGAGATTTGGGAAAGAAAGTGAGGGCATGCATTTTTGTCACAGGAAGAAGTTACCTGTATCTTTCTTTTATTTTATGTATAAAAATTTTAAAATTAAATAAATTTTTTTTTGTAATATTTGATTGTTATGAATTGAATTAGAGACAATTAGAATTTCCCACATCAGAAGTAAGATACATCTATAAGAAAGTGAAATGCAGTTAAAGTTTAGCAGGGAAATACAAGACAAATGTGTACGTCTCAAAGCAAATAAAGTGATGCAAAGTTGGTGTAAAATGATGTAATGAGCGTGGGATTGGAGAATGGGATAGACCCAAGTATAGTCTAAAATCGAGAGAGGTATCTAGATTGTAGATGGTGTATTGGGTTAGAGATAAGAATTCGCTAGGTCTCACCCACTTCACATATTTTGTATTCAGTGTATGAAATGTGGATTTGAATTTTATTTATTTATTAAGTTCACAAAAATGATATTGATAGGAGCCATTCAACATGAAGGCTTTTTTTCTTTTTATCTACTTTTATTTATTTAGTTTTAATAGATTGGATGGCTTAAAATACAAGTATAATTTAATTCTTTCAATTTTACATTTGAGATAGTTCTCTAAAATGATTTAATAAAGAGTGTTTTGTACTCAGTCACTGATTGAATAATAAAAATAGGAACAAGAAAATGAAAAAAAGAAGAAGTATATAGGATGGTAATTCAAATGAGTAATTCTATCAAGAAATTACGGCCAGTTATTTGTTAAATTGAGAATGATACTGAGATTTGTGAATATAAATAAATACAAATGAAAAAATAAATAGATTGGTACTATTTTCAATTACTGTATATTTTATGAATTCAATTCGTCTTAAATTAATCCCACATAGGGCCAAGTCCTAATCTTTGTTAGGCCTGGCCCAAACAATAAAAGAGAGTCCCCGAGTGGATGCCAAAGAGCAGCCCAAGAAACAATAAAAAGCTGGGTGGCATAGCTGGTGGCTTTGTCGGTAGATGGGCCCAACATAAAACCAGTCCACGTGACAGACTACTGTAGTAATCTCAGTGCAATCAATTCTAGAAAATGCGTAGTAATTCTTTATAGATTATGTGATTGAAAAAGTCTAGAAAACCGTGATTTTTCACCCTCATTTGCTTTTGCTGCACTTAATTGCACCTATGGAGCCGCTGGAATATAAACATGCACGTGAATGTTTCGCAAAGTTCATATACTTTTTGTATATCGATATATATATCTCTAATTTATTTTCTTTTTGTGGGTAAATAGGAAACAAAAAGAAGTCAGAAGTGTAGTTGATGCTTTTATTTTTATAACACGTGTAGTTATGTCATGCATTCTAGTATTGTTTTTGAACCGTGAATAAGTGATTTGGATTTAAAATTGAAAAAAAAAAATAGTACAAATTTTGTATTTAATATTTTTTTGAAAAAAATAAAATTTTGCATTAAATTTTTTCTTCAATTTCAAAATTTGTTGATTCAATTCTCTAAAATGTAGCTTACTAGCTTATATATATATATATATTTTCAATTTTAATTCAAAATAGGCAATCCGTTCTCCAAGATACAACAAAAGAATAAACTCGTTGAATGTGGATTTTTTTTTTTATAAAAAAAATTAACTTTGCTTATTTTCATTTGCATTGAAAGGAGACTTGTGGAATTAAGATTCCATCCACTTGTATATGATTTTAACTGGTTAACCACTTGTTTGATAAACATAAATTTCAATAGTATATTGATCGGTTGATGAAAAGAAAACACATTAAATGATTGAATTAGAATTCATTTATGAAAAAGACAACGCATTGAATTGAGATGAAATTACTCTGCTTCATTAAATAAAAATGAAATTTGACGATACCTTGATGTGTGAAACTACTCCACTTTATAAATTTTTGTAATTGGTGTTATCATAAGAATTTCATATTAATTATCTAGCAAGCAGTATAAATGGAAAGTTTATAATCTTTTATTTTATTTTATTTGAAATTGGGTGCTCCTAAATGGAACGTTATTATTATTATTTTTTCACTATATTTCTCTGGAAATTGGCTTTGTATATCCTTATATAACAGAAAGTGGCTCAGCATAGATTTTTTTTGGAGTTAGTATTCCTGTAATATCAGTATCACCGGCCAGTAAAATAAATTATTGATATATATATATATATATATATATATGGTTTATAAAAACCTGCTCTAATATAATCTGGCTGACTAAAACCAGTCCATTCAAGTGAATTTACAAGATGAAAAGGACAAGAGAAGAGGAATGGAAAAGGAAATATTATATCAGACAAATTAAGTTTGATGTAACTTTGGTGATTTGAAGAGGCTCTTGAGAGCACAGAAACAAAGGCTTTCTTGTAGTCCTAATTAAGCTTTCACTGATCTTGTTGCTTATGGTTGAAGCAAAACCACCTTCTTTTAATAATGTCAATATAAGATTTTTTCTTTGATGTAGACGACAAATATATATATATATATATATATATATATATATATAAGACCTAGTAGTGCTTCAAATTTGTTTCTTTTTTGACAGTTATTAGTTTAATTACAATTTGGGAACATTTCAGGAACCAATTGCTCATATTATATTTCTTTCTATTCATGTGTTCCAGGAAGGCTTCATTGGGAATGATAATTAATGGTTTTGTTATATATTGTCCCCATTCGATGCCATCTTCATTTATAATATATGTTTGTACTCTTTGATTCGATCTTCAGCACATGGTTACCTAGCTTGTTCCCTAGGATGACAATCATAAACATATATATTTACAGATCGAAATACATATATATTGTGAGAGACGATGATGTTGATGACGACAGTGGTAACGCATCATAATTATATTGCTTTTCCTACTACATTGATAGAAACCTCTATTCTTGAAATGCTTCTGACTCATGTAGTGATTCTAACCTCCATTTTCACAAACAATGACAACTCCCAACTCATGTAGTGATTCTGACTTGCCTTCTCGTAATGCAAATTTGTCTTCTTGCCCCAGATTTGAGTTAGTTTACAGGCCATTGCTGGTTTGACAAACTTGATGTCCTCCTCTCTCTATTTTCAATTACTAATTTTTTTCTTTATCCACAACCTTATATAGCTCTCTCTCTTTTTTGTTGGAAATTGTTTTAATTTGCGAAAAAACCATAAATAGCTCTCTTTTTTGCTCTATTCAACCATGTGCAGTTGCAGCAATTTGCGTAATATAATAGAAGTCCCATGAGTTGTTGATAATGTGACAAGCTAAAACTACCATAATAGAAGTCCCATGAGTTTGTTGATCGTGTGACAATTAAGCTAAAACTACCTTTCACATAATATTATGAATCATTTATTCAATTAAACGTACAGTGGTCATATAATCCTGATAACTTTGAATCATTGCCTCTTTTTTTTTTTTTCAAATTAAAACTCTGATTTTTGAAGGAATATACGTACATAGAATCAAAACATTTCCCAGGCATGCCTGATTAGAGTCACTTCCCTTGCAAAAGAAACATGTCTGTCTGGATGACTGCAGTCAGAGTGTATTGAAAAAAAGGTCATATAAACCATTCCACTGATCAAACTAAAATTACAAGATTCAAACTAAAATCATCAAGAAGACATCAATTACACAGTGATTGATTTAGACTAACGTTTTGTGATCGTGTTAGAATGGTGGTGATGTGAAGAGGCTGTTGAGAGCACAGAAACAATGGAATGTAATGCATTTGCTGCTATCCTTGATTTTATCTGTCCTCTCTTTGGCAGAGGCCTTCTTCTGCCGGAACATCCACTGTTTACTGCTGCAGGGACATCACTGATGGTAGTACTCTTCATGGTGGCAACAACAAGGAAAATCAGCTTCTTTCGCAGACTCTTTCAACTGATATAATATTGAAATGTATATGAGTACTCAATTGCTCTGGTTTGGGGACTTCGGGGTGTTTGGGTGTTTATATAGCACAAGTATTAGTCTTTCTAATACCAGGGGAGAGGGAAAGGTTGATCTGGGAGATTAGAGATTTGGATTTCTTATTCATGATTGGCAGCGATTGGGGGACATGCCAGCTTAATTGTCTGGCTGTACAAGATTCCCTTGAGCCCAACTTGAGACAACTTCAATTTCATGAGATGATTTAGTAAGTGGTTGATAGAACTAGGTGTAGTCCATAGTTTATATGCGTTATGGTTTGTAGAACAGGTATATAGGGAAGCTCTCATGTGGACTTCCAAGGTTGGTATTTGGATTCTTGATAAAGTGGATGAGGTTGAGGACCATGATTTGTGGGTGGCTACATACAAATTTATTGCTAGGATTAATTGATTTGTTTTTGCTACATTTGAACAAATGTAGTTTCATTAGTTTAAATGAAAATTGTGCAGGTTTCAAGGAGCAGCCTTCATATATATATATATGCATGTGTTGCAATGTCTATCTATGCTTTCAGGAAGACTTCCTTGGGAATGCCAAATGGCTGTGTCATTGTCTATGGACCAAGCAACCTTGTTCCATAATATATTTATACATTTGATGCTGCAGCACACGATCAAATAACTTATTTCTCAGAAAGAGAATCATCTGCAGTGCATTTTGGGTACAAAGCACGGTATTATTGTTGGAATTTATATGTCCTGGCATAGCAAATTTCTATCTGAATTATAGTGATATTCTGAAATATTTATACTTTATACAATTGGTGAATTCAATATATTATGTTTCGATTCACTATGGAATTGATAGTGTCCATTTGATTACAAGAGATATTTATATATATAAGTGATGGTAATCAATACATGTATATAAATAGTAATCATAAATTGTTCATAATTGGTAATTATGGATGGACTCATAATTAATTAAGACTTGAACTGGATTCGCGTTAGGTTGAGATATATTGCGAGAGCCGTCGTATGCAATTGCTCCCTATCACTGTCATGGCATTTGATTCTTAAGCATGAGAAAATTATAAACTCTTTTATTAATTAATAATTATTTTGATTTGTTCGGCGGATTCTTTGGGATTCTTAGACCGACACTTTGGGTAGTTATGTAATTAATAGTTAGAGAGTTATATTTTCAATATTTGCATCATTACTACTTGTATTTATTTTGTATTGATTATGGTTGATCACAAAGTAAATTCGAATGTCTTCGTGTGTTTTTAGACAAAATGATTTATTATATATTTATTTATTTAAATTATTATTTTTGTCAAACAAATGTTTTATTATGATCAAGCCAGAAATAATCAATGGTATCAAAATAAATATATTAATTAAGTAGTCGGATTGATGGCTTTATTAATCCGATAACTAATTAAGTATAGAGGGGTCAAAGTGC